GGGCACACCTGGACACACCTGGCATACACCTGGACACACCTGGGCACATCTGGTGCACACCTGGACACACCTGGAGCACAGTTGGGCACAGCTGGTGCACACCTGGCACACACCTGGACACACCTAGAGCACAGCTGGGCACAGCTGGGCACTCCTGGGTACACCTGGGCACACCTGGGCACCCCTGGCTCAGCTGTGACGGGTGGTGGCCACGGACAGGCACCACCTGGCCACGCACCCCGGGGACCCCTCAGGTCCCCCAGGCTGAGCGGGGCCGGGGCTGCTCCCCCAGGGTGGGATCCCCACCAGGAGCAGGGGGCTCCGGGGACTCATCCCACCTCCTTATCCCCTGGGGAAGGTGACAGAGGTCCTGCAGGGTGTCCCTGTGCTGTGGGACCCCCCCATCATCCCCCTGTCCCCCCGCCCCGGCGACGCTTAAAGTGCTTCGTTCCGCCCCGGTGGAGAAAGGTCGGGCGGCCTCGGCCGCTTCTCCCCGTTTCACACCCTCACCCTCCGGCCCCTCCGGCACGGCCGGGCACCCCCCGGCCCCTCCTGCCTCCCCCCCGTCCCCCGGGGGGTGGTGGCAGCGGTGACACCCCCCCGGGACGTCGCTGAGCCCTCGGCCGGCGTCACCGCGGCGTCACCGGCCACCCACCGCCGAGGCCCGGCCGGGGCTCCGGGGGTCCTCTCCTCCTGCCGGGGGGCTCCCGGGACGCTCGGGGGGCTCCCGCTCGGCTCGGGGGGTGCCGGGGGCGTCTTCGGCGGCCGCCGTTTCCCCCCCTTGGGCGCAGAGCCGGGGGGCGAAGCCCGGAGCTCCTCTTTGCTCGAAGCTGGTGGGACGGGTGGAGTGAAGCTCTGAGAGCTCTTTAAATAAAACAGAAAAGAAAAAACGGCGGGGGCGGGAGGGCGGGGTGGGGGTAAGGAGGGAGAAAAACCAAACCAACAGCGACCCAAAGGAAAGGGAAAAGGGAGAAAGCAAAGAAAAAGAGAGAGAGAGAAACAGAAAGTGGCTGGTTGGCCATTGCGGAGCGAGATGGGAGACAGGAGTCGGGCCGTGGCGAGCGGAGGCGAGACACAAGTCGGGCCGTGGCGGAGCGGAGGCGAGACACGAGGTCGGCCACAGTGGAGCAAAGACATTGATAAAAACAGAAAGAGAAGGGACAGGTGGCGATCCCTCCAGGTGCCTCAAGAAGACAAAGTCCCAGGGAGGAAGAGGAGCCCAAGGAAGAGAGAGGCCCGGCCCCCCGGGAGCGGTTGGGTTGGAGCTGGCAAGGATGCTCAGAATGAGATGGAGGAGTTCCTTGCCCCAAAGGAAGTCAATACGGGGATGGATGTTCTGCCAGATGCGGGTTTTTCTGAGACCGTGGGGGAAGTCTCACTGGCCTCTTTAGATGGTCTAGTGGCCTAGAAAGAAAAGCAAGATTCAAGGAGCAGGAGGAGGAGGAGGAGGAGGAGAAAGGGGAGGAAAGTCAAAAAAACCAGTTTCAATAAAAAAAAAACAACAAAAAAAAGGACAAAGAAAGGAAACAAAAAGAAGAAGAAGAAGAAGAAGAAAGAACAGGACAGAAAAAACCCAAAACAACCAAGAACCAAAGGGAGTCTGTTCAGAAGCAGCATTGAGTCAGGCCTGAGGTCAAGCAGCTGGAAAAGGGCCACCACAAACAGCACGAGATGAGCTGGTCCCACGCGTTACTGGACGGGAAGGGGACGACCCCGAGAGCAGAGACGGACGGACGGACAGACGGCCACGAGGACAGACAGGCACACACACACACACACACACACACACACACACACACA